CTCAACAGCTCAGAAAACATTCTCCTTGATAGACCACGCTGGTCAGGCACACAAAACAAAGTCTTAACTAATTTTAACAAAAATGGAAATATTAATGATTATTATTTATGACCAAAAGGAATAAAACAAGAAAATCAGTAACCAGAAAGAAAACTGAAACATTGCCGGCCGGGCGCCGGTGCTGCACGGCCTGTCATGCCCAGCCACTTTGGGGAAGGCCTGAGGAAAAAAGGGTGGATCAACGAAGGTCAGAAGAATTTTCCGGAAAACGCATCCCCCTGGTCAACCACGGGGTGAAACCCCGTCCTCCTACTTAAAAAATAGCAAAAAAATTAGCTGGGCCGATGGTGGGCGGGCGCCCCTGTAGACCCAGCTACTCGGGAGGCCTGAGGCCAGGAGAATGGCGGGAAACCTCGGTGACGGAGGCTTGCAGTGAGCCTGGATCAGTGCCACCGCACTCCAGCCTGGGCGACAGAGCGAGACCCGTCTCAAAAAATAAATAAAAAAATAAAAAACGGAAACATTCACAAATACACGGAAGTTCAACAATACACACTTGAGCATGTTCTTCTTTGTGGGCTGGAAGACTTAATATTATGAAGATGTTCATGTCACCCAAGTGACCTACTGATTCAGGGCAATCCTTTCAAGTTCACAATTTCATTTTTGCAGAAATAGAAAAGGCAACTCTAAAATTACACAGCAAGTGAAGGAACCATGAAGAGAGCAATAATCTCCACAAAGAAGAACAATGTTGCAGGTATCATACTTTCTGATTTTAAAATACATTACTGTCGGCGCGGCGCGTGGCTCATGCCTGTAATCCCAGCACTTTGGGAGGCGGAGATGGGTGGATCGCCTAAAGTCACGAGTTTAAGACCAGCCTGGCCAACATGGTGAAACCCCGTCTCTACTAAAAATACATGGTGGCACATGCCTGTAATCCCAACTACTTGGGAGGCTGAGGCAGGACAATGACCTGAACCTGGGAGGCAGAGGTTGCAGTGAGCCGAGATCGCACCACTGCATTCCAACCTGGGTGACAGAGCCGAGACTCTCTCTCAAAAAAAAAAAAAAAAAAAGAAGCTGTGGTAATTAAAACCGTTTGGTATTAGCATAAAGGCAGACAATTAGGTCAATGAAACAGAATACAGAACACAGAAATAAACCTCCACATATATGGGCACATGAAAAGTTATTTGCATACCCATATTTATTGCAACATTATTCACAAAAGCTAATAAGGGAAAACAACCCAAACTTACCTCACCAAATGAATGGCTGAATATAATTCAGAATACACAAATAGGCTGGGAGTGGGTGGCCCGTACCTGTAATCCCAGCACTTTGGGAGGCCAAGGCGGGTGGATCACCTGAGGTCAGGAGTTTGAGACCAGCCTGGCCAACATGACGAAACTCTGTCTCTACTAAAAATACAAAAAAAAAATAGCCAGGCATGGTGGGGTGCGCCTGTAGTCCCAGCAACCCCGGAGGCTGAGGTGGGAGAATCAGTTGAATCTGGGAGGTGGAGGCTGCAGTGAGCTGAGGTCAGGCCATGCATTCCAGCCTTGGCGACAGAGCGAGACTCCTCACAACAAAATTAACTCACACTAGCACCACAGACGCCCAAGAAATCGAGATGTCTCAAAAAAATCCCCCCCACAAATAATGGAATATTACTCAGCTTTTAAAAAGCAGGAAATCTGGTAAAATCTACAATAAAGATGAATCTTTAAGAAAAGCCCTGGCCGGGCGCGGTGGCTCAAGCCTGTAATCCCAGCACTTTGGGAGGCCGAGACGGGTGGATCACGAGGTCAGGAGATCGAGACCATCC